ACTGCAGGCAGCTGCTTTACCCACTATGCCACAGCACCGGTCCCAAGTATGAGTTTATTTTGGTGGAAAATGCATGTTATTGAAAAACTGCACAAGTTTCAAGAAATTTTTGCACCAAAATAAACTTATACCTTTAATTTCATTTACCCACCACCTTTGGAGGTACCATCTTAACTGTTGGGGCAGCACACTCTTAGAGTTTCTATTCTGTTCTGTTCTTTTGTGTTTAAGTTATTGGCTATATCCACTAAGTTGATTGCCTGAAGAGTTATACAATATAAAGAAGCAATTTTTATACTTTGTTCCTCTCCCTTAAGATTACGAACAATATGAGACTGGTATTGTGGTGTAATGGGTAAAGCTGCTGCCTGCAGTGTCAGCATCCCATATTGGTGCTAATTTGAGTCCCAGCTTCTCGCTTCCGATCCAGCTCCCTGCTAAGGCCTGGGAAAGCAGTGGAGAATGGGCCCAAGTGCTTGGGCCCTTACACTCCTGTGGGAGACCCAGAAGAAGCTCTTGGCTGCTGGCTTCAGTCTGGCCCAGCCCTGGCTGTTGTAGCCATTTGCAGAGTGAACTGGTAGATGGAGGCTTACTCTCTGTCTCTCTTGCTCCCTTTCTCTGTAACTCTGCCTTTCAAATAAATAAAATAAATAAATATTAAAAAGATTATGAGGGGCCCGGTGCTATAGCGCAGCAGGTTAAAGCCCTAGCCTGAGGCGCTGGCATCCCATATGGGCACCGGTTCTAGTGCCTGCTGCTCCTCTTTCGATCCAGCTCTGTGCTATGGCCTGGGAAAGCAGAAGAAGATGGTCCAAGTCTTTGGGCCTCTGCACCCACATGAGAGACCCAGAGGAGGCGCGTCTGGCTTCGGATTGGCACAGCTCCAGCCGTTGGAGCCATCTGGGGAGTAAACCAGCGGATGGAAGACCTCTTTCTCTCTGTCTCTACCTCTTTCTGTAACTCTGTCTTTCAAATAAATAAAATAAATCTTAAAAATTAAAAATAAAAAGATTATGAGCAATATAAAGATTGTTGAAATTTATAGAAGCACATAAATGACATATTTGTGCTTTCCTGTGTGCCAATAACTAGCTGTGTGAAATTGAATAACAAAAATCTTTTTCATCTTTAAAACATGGAGCTGATACATTCCCTTTATATCTCATAAGATTTCTCAAATGAGATTAAAACCACGAGAGCTCTCTGTGAACTTTAGAAGCATACATTAATATAAGGTGATTTCTTTTACACTAGTTATATTGGAAACATTTAGACATTGAAGTGCCTGTGTTTTGCAACAGCTGGTGCTTTCTGATTCCAACTCCAATTTCCCTGATCCCTCGTAGATGGCCTGATTAGAGCAAAAGGTACGGCAGATATCGTGTTAATGTCTGCCTACATATTTGGTTCTTACTCTTACATTACTTGTTCGTTGCTTCATGCAAGAGAAGATGGCCTTAAAATTACTCCTTAGAGAAGAATTAGTTCTAAATCTTTATAATCAAACCTCCCTTGTTCTAATCAAGAAATAAATAGGCACTCCAAATCCTGGGAACAAGTCTTATAATACACAGTCACCAAACACCCCAACACAGTCGTTGCAGGCACTGCTGCCTGGATAACCAGGTTGGCAGCTCTGTTTGGGTGCTATAAAGTACCCCCTCTTGCCCAGGCTCACCCTTGAAAATTCCCTCTTACAACTCACGCACAGATCCACAAAATCCACTATCGCACAGATAACGACCAACCACTTAATGTTCTGTAGTCATCCACAGAAGGGCTGAGTGGTGCTCAGCTTGTAGGCTTCAGCAGTTTGATCTCTAGTCTTTCTCTGGTCCTCATACTCAGGGAGTAAATCTGTACTCCCCACTTGGATTTTCATTCCCATATATTCTGTAAAAAGAAAGTTTCCATTGTGGATCAAAAATATACCCCTAGATACTATTAGATTTTTTTTTAAAAGATTTATTTATTTATTTATTTGAAAGAGTTAAACAGAAGGAGAGGCAGAGAGAGAGAATGAGAGAGAATATCTTCCATCCACTGGTTCACTCCCCAATTGGCCGCAATGGCTGGAGCTGTGCTGATCTGAAGCCAGGAGCCAGGAACTTCCTCTGGGTCTCCCACACGGGTGCAGGGGTCCAAGGCCCGGGGCCGTCTTCTACTGCTTTCCCAGGCCACAGCAGAGAGCTGGATTGGCAGTGGAGCAGCTGGGACTTGAACCGGGATGCAGGCACTGCAGGTGGCGGCTTTACTCGCTATGCCACAGCAACAGCCCCTAGATTTATCTTAAAATGTGGCTTCACTTATCTTTTGTCAACCTCTAACCAAAAAAATTCAACATTGTCTGCCTACATAATTTAAGAAGAGGCAATAAAGATGCACATACTCATAATTTTTAATATACTTGAACTATAGTTTACATGGTACTTCACAGTGTTCATGGAAGATACATATTGTGGAAAAACTGTGCATAGATTTCAGATTTTTTATTTGGTTTCATTTCCATGAGCTTTTGTGAAGTACTCCTGGATTTTTGTTCTTTTATGTATATATATATATTTTTTTTTCATTTATATGAAAGGCAGATAGAGATCTTCCAGACACTGATTCACTCCCTAAATGCCCTCAACAGCCAGGCTGGGTCAGGCCAAAGCCAGGAGACTGGAACTCAGTTTGGGACTCCCATGTGCGTCGCATGGACCCAGGTATTTGAGCTATTACCTTCTGGCTCCTACGGTGTGCATTAGGAGGAAGCTGGATTGGAAGTGGAATAGCCAGGACTCGCCCCAAACACTGATATGGGATGCAAGTGTTGCAAGTGACAACTTAACTGTAATCAAGGCCCACCCTACTCTTGTGTTTTAAATAACTTATTTGTTCTTTATAAAAATTCATTCATTTTGATATGTCACTTTTTCCTTTTTGTCTGAGTTAACTTGTTCTCAGATGTTTTCATTGCCCTTTCACCCCAAATCCTTTTGGTCCTGTTCATACATATGTTTTTGAAAATTTTTTTACATTCATATCTTTTTAGTTGCATTTTCATAAGAGTATGTTTTCTACAATAATTATACCTTTTGAAATTGATTGCTGTTTTCATTGTGAATTAGGCATAGTGAAATTTTGTGAAAGATCACATTAGATATGATATTATCAAAGAAAACTTTAAGGAACCAGTAATGGGTTGATTTCACCTAACAAAGGCAGAAATGCGAGCGTTTTTGTAGTTTGAAGGGCATGAGTTTTGTTATCCTTGGGTGAGCTGTAGATTGGCTGGCATTTTGGAAAGAGGTTAGGGTATTCTGATCCTAAGCTCCTAGAAGACACAGAGAAAGGAGTTGCAGTTTCTTATTTTTGTTTTGTTTTTTAAAGATTTATTTATTTGTTTGAAAGGCAAGGTTACAGAGAGGCAGAGGCAGAGAGAGAGAGAGATCTTCCATCCACTGGTTCACTCCCCAAATGGCTCTAACGCTGGAAGCTGGGCCCATCTGAAGCCAGGAGCCAGGAGCTTCTTCTGGGCCTCCCATGCGGGTACAGGGGCCCAAGGACTTGGACCATCTTCCACTGCTTTCCCAGGCCATAGCAGAGAGCTGGATTGGAAGTGGAGCGGCTAGGACTCGAACCAGCACCCATATGAGATGCTGGCACTGCAGGTGTTGGCTTTACCCGCTATGCCACAGTGCTGACCTCAGGTGTTGCAGTTTCATGAGGACTGTTTTGAAAGATTTTATTTATTTGACAGGTAGAATTCCAGACAGTGAGAGAGAGACACACACACGCAGAGAAAGGTCTTCTTTCCTTTAGTTAACTCCCCAAACGGCTGGAGCTGCGCCGATCCAAAGCCAGGAGCCAGGTGCTTCTACCTGGTTTCCCACGCGGGTACAGGGGCCCAAGCACTTGGGCCCTCCTCTACTGCTCTCCCAGGCCACAGCAGAGAGCTGGACTGGAAGAGGAGCAACCAGGACTAGAACCGGTGCCCATGTGGGATGCTGGCACCACAGGTGGAGGATTAACCCAGTGTGCCGTGGCACGTGAGGACTCATGAGGACTGTTCTGAAGTATGAGAGTTTTGCAGCTGGCAGTGATAGGATGGCTTTAAACCTGTCAGTGTCTTTTTATTTTTTTGTGCCAGATCACTATGACCCTTCTCAGAATTTCTCAATATATATAATCACATCTACCATAATATATTGTTAACATTTTATATCTGCATTTTTAAAGTACTGCTCTGCAATGGACTGAGAGAATTAGTCTCCTATCTGTCATTTTAAAAGGAAGAGATTTATTTATTTATTTGAAAGAGTTAGAGAAAGAGACAGACAGATCTTCCATCTGCTTGTTCACTCCTCAGATGCCCGAAACGGTCAGGGCTGGGTCAGGCCAAAGCCAGGAGTGAGGTGTTTCATGCAGGTTTACCACATGGGTGGCAGGGACCCAGGTACTTGGGCCATCTTCTGCTTTTCCCAGGTTTTTTGTGCATGTAGTTCATTTTATAATTAGGAAGATTTGTATTTTTGTTCCTATCATTGCCTTTGTAATACCTGATTACATAATATCCTTGGTTTTCTATTTAGTGTTATATTTTTAATTCACTTTTGAAAAAGAGGTTTACTTATCTGAAAGAGTTACAGAGAGAGGGAGAGATGAGAGAAAGAGATCTTCCATCTGCTGGTTCATTCTCCAAATGGTCATAACAGTCAGGGACTTGAAGTAGTGTTCAAATGGGATGCCAATGTCATAGGGTGTGGCTTAACCAGCTGTGCCACAACACTAACTCCTGTTATTTATTTTTATAAGTAACACTATAATTAGTATATTTCCTTCCCTTTATTCTATCACCCAGTTTTATCAGCTCTATTATCTTGGTGCTTACTTTTATACTATGAAATATCCATATTCCTCCATTACCTCATTTGTCATTATTTCAGAAAGCTTCCTGGCTCCCGTATCCTCTCACTAACTCACCTTGCACACTGTTGGATCATTCCTAAACTCACCTGTATGATATCATAAATCCTCAGAGATCTCTCTGACCTCCACGAAGTCTGTATTCTCTTCTGGCTTTCAAAACTCCATAACCCAGCTTCATCTCGATCACTCAATCTTGTTTCCTCCACAAAGTCTCAGTGAGTTTGTCCTCACTGTCCAGCAGTCGAGCTGAGCGTAGGAGGGAAAGCCTTCAGCCAGGCTGGTGCAGGCTGCTTTGTGCTGTCACTGGAGGTGATGGCACCCACCTGCAGACTGCTCTGGTCCAGCCAAAGCTTTTCCCTTCTACACCCAGCTAAAGTCACAGAGCCTTGAAGCCTAACAAGAGGGGCCAGGCGTCGTGGCATGCTGTTTGTGAAGTCCAGTCCAGCTCCCTGCTAATGTGCCTGGGAAAGCAGTGGAAGATGACTCAAGTGCTTGGACTCTTGTCTCCCTCGTAGGACATCCAAAGGGAGTTCAGGGTTCCTGGCTTCAGCTTGGCCCCACCCTGGCTAGCTGTTGCAGCCATCTGGAATATAAACCAGCAGGTGGAAGATATGCCTGTTCAATTAAATCTGCCTTTCAATTAAATAAATAAATAAATCGTACAAACAACCAAACTAAACTGAAAGAAAGCAGAAGGAAGGAATAAGATTTTTTTTTAACAAAAAAGAAAAAGAACTCTCCAGAAACCCTTTAGTGTCACAGAAACTCTTGGGAATTGGAAGATACCTTAGAAGTCATCCCCTCTGATTTACACCACATCCAGTGATCATTTCCATCCCATTTCTGGTCTAAGTCAGGGGCCTATGGTGACAGGAACTCCAGAATGCTCAAAGCATTACTCTGGCTTAACATTCTGGCTTATATTCATTCATTGAATGTGAAATTTTTTTTTTCTTTCATTCTTTATTTGAAAGAGTTACACAGAGAGGTAGAGGTAGAGAGACACAGAGAGGTTTTCCATCTGCTGGTTCACTCTCCAAATGGCTGCAATAGCTGGAACTAAGCCAATCCGAAGACAGGAGCCAGGAGCTTTGGGCCCTTGTCTCCCACATGGTGGAGACTTTAGTGGACCCAAGGATTTGAGCCATCTTCTGCTGCTTTCCCAGGCACATTAGCAGGGAGCTGGATCAGAAGTGGAGCAGCCAGGACTTGAACAGGTGCCCATATTGGATGCTGGTGCAGCAGGCTAGGGCTTTAACCTGCTGCTGCACTATAGCTCCAGCCTTGTGAAAAATATTTGACCATAGACCTAATTCTGCCCTTTGAAGTAGTTTATGACATCTTTGCATATTTGGGAAAATAGGTGTTTCACCTTCTTTTAATCTCCTCCAGATGAAAACCTCACCTTTATTTTTTTTTTAAAGATTTATATATTTATTTGAAAGGTAGAGTTACAGAGAGGCAGAGAGGGCAAGCGAGAGATAGAGAGTGAGTCTTCCATCTCGTTCACTCCCCATATGGCCGCAACAGCCAGAGCTGCACGATTGGAAGCCAGGAGCTTCCTCCAGGTTTCCCATGCGGGTGCAAGGGTCCAAGAATTTGGGCCATCTTCTACTGCTTTCTCAGGCCATAGCAGAGAGCTGGATCGGAAGTGGAGCAGCTGAGACTTGAACTGGTGCCCATATGGGATGCCGGCATTGCAGGCGTGGCTTTACTCGCTATGCCACAGCGCTGGCACCACCAGTTCTTTCAGTTGTTTCCCACACACAGTGATTTCTGGATGCATCACCAGCTTGTGGCCATACTTGGGTTTATCACTACTCTAATTGAAACTGTGCACACAAGATTTTCCAGATATATTATAATTAGTACTGAATCTGATGGGACTGTGCCTTCTTGTGCTCAGAATATGTTTCTAAATCAGCCCAAGACTGCATTTGTTTAATAGCCACAGCTCATTTTTGGACTGTGTTAATTTTTATTTATCTGAAGTTCCAAGAGCTTGTGGCTCCCTGTTCATACAAAGGGGTGTGAGATGAGTAAGACACAATCTCTGCCCTCAAGAAACATGTTTAGTCTGTGAAGTACCTGACCAGTGATCCTCAAGATTATCAGTGTCATCACAAACAAGGAGGTCTGAAGCTCATAAATCAGAATTGCCTAAGAATACCTAACCACTAAATGTAATGATATACTGGATGGGAACCTGGGATGGAAGACGACTCAGAATAAGAAACATGAAGAAAGTATGGACTTCTGCTAATAATGTATCAGCATTGGTTCTATGTGACAACTGTTACTATAGCAATATGAGCTATCTTTAAGAGGGGAAGCTAGATGTCTCTAACCCAGGAACCCTCACATGAGATGCAGGCATCCCAAGCAGTGTCCTCATCACTGCACCAGATGCCCACTCCCTCGCCCCTTACCATTTTAAACACAGATCCCACAGGGTAACTAACAGAATCTTATGAACAGAGGAAAACCTGTACATTTAAGTTGCATACCCTGTCAGGAGTTCATGGATTCCAGATTAAGAACTTCATCTCAGGGTGGCAATGCTTACCTGGTAGGCAGTGTGTGTTTGGGGAGCAGAGAAGATAGTGAGGTAAGCGTAAGCTAGCAGCAGGTATTCTTTCCACAGGGAGCCTCAGCCTGGTCTGCAGGCTGTCAGTGGGTTACAAGTGAACTTTACAAAAAACCTAACAGATTTAAAAATGGATGTTGAGGCCAGTGCCGCGGCTCACTAGGCTAATCCTCCGCCTACGGCGCTGGCACTCTGGGTTCTAGTCCCAGTTGGGGCGCTGCTTCTATCCCGGTTGCTCCTCTTCCAGTCCAGCTCTCTGCTGTGGCCCGGGAAGGCAGTGGAGTGGAGGATGGCCCAAGTGCTTGGGCCCTGCACCCACATGGCATGGGAGACCAGGAGGGGGCATCTGGCTCCTAGCTTTGGATCGGTGCAGTGCGCTGGCCGTATCGGCCATTTGGGGGGTGAACCAACGGAAAAGGGAGACCTCTAACTCTGCCTGTCCAAAAAAAAAAAAAAAAGGATGTTGAGTGATTCCTAAACTAACACAATATTAAACAGTGTACTAAGCTACACCATTCTAATTGTTTCAGGAGTGCTAGCCATACTTCACAAGGTGGAGACAAGCTGCTTGAGGTTAGGGAAGCTGTTGTTTGTTTTTGTTTTGTTTTGTTTTAAACCATGTTCCTGAGCAGTTGATTGTATACTGGTCTTTTGGGCTTTGGAATCACCTTAGTGCAAAGCTACCTGCCTTGATTTAGAATGCTCATTATCTTAAAGTCAGTCCTCAAGAACACTGTATATTAACAGTCCTGAGGGCTGTTTTAAACCCTACCTCTGTGCCACAGCAAGTAACAGCACAGTAGTTATAGGACTAATTTCAGAAATGATTTCTGGGAAGGCAGATGTTTGGCACAGTGGTTAAGATGCCACTGGCCGGTGCTGTGGTTCACTTGGCTAATCCTCCTCCTGCGGTGCCGGTACCCTGGGTACTAGTCCCGGTTGCTGTGGCCCGGGAAGGCAGTGGAGGATGGCCCAAGTGCTTGGGTCCCTGCACCCACATGGGAGACTGGGAGGAAGCACCCGGCTCCTGGCTTCGGATTGGCGCAGTGCCGGCCATTGTGGCCATTAGGGGACTGAACCAACAGAAGGAAGACCTTTCTCCGTCTCTCTCTAACTCTAACTCTGCCTGTCAAAAAAAAAAAAAAAGATGCCACCTGAGATGCCTGCATCCTATATCAAAGTACCTGGGTTCAAGTCCCAGTTTTGCTTTCAATTCCAGCTTCCTGCAAATGTGTACCATGGGAGGTAGCAAATAACAATGACTTAAGCCTTCTGGTTTCTGACACCATGTGGGAGACCTAGATTAAGTTTCAAGGTATTGGCTTCAGCTGTTGCGGACATTTGGAGAGTGAATGAGTAGATGGAAGATCTCTGTGTCTCAGATGAAAATTCTGGGACACAAAAGGATTTCTTAGTGAATTTAAATTCTTAATGTATTTTGCATAAACCCATTACATTTTACTCTTCAAAACAAATTTCATCTGCTAAGTTGAATTCAGTAGCAAATTATCTTTTTATTTAGGTGAAGGGACCATCATCACTGTTAACCCTGTTCCTTCCCACACTCCTGTCCATTTTGTGTCCTTACTTCTTAGAAATCAGACCAGGTTCCTGAATAAATCTGAGTCCATAGTTAAACTGATTTTAAGCTCAAAAGGTAACAGTGGTGTCTGGTATACTTTTGGGGACTTCAGTGTTCCATATGGAAGACATAATGAATGTACAGATGTTTCCCACCATTTCAGGTAACATTCTACAGCTGGATAGCTTAGGAAATACAACCACAATTCTGTGTCTGACTGACAATGAATGAAACTGCAGATTACAAATCTTATTTAAAATAAAAACACCAAAGTCTTTTTACTGAAAACTAGTTTTATTTTAAAATTAAGTGCATAGCACTCATCTAATATTCCATTGGTGTAGAACTTAGCACCATATTTGCTATTTGAAATTCATGTCATAACACAGATACATTTTGGTTTGCAGTCTGTACTTGAGTAGTGTTTATTTAATGGACTTTGGTAAAGCCCTTTATACATATCATTAATACCTTCACAGTACACACTTAATGATGGTCCGGTAATCTCAACCAAAAACAAAATAAAAAAAAACCACCCAGCTTTAAAGGCTAATCAATAAATTAAAGAAAACCTATACAACACCTCCCCTATCCCCCAATGCTAGCAACTGTGACCTGTATTTATAATGAAACCTAAATGTTTTAAAAATAGTTCTGGTTGTGCAACCACCCTACCCCACTGCGGGTATGCAGCAAGAGTAATCAATTCGTTTATTCTACTCCCCCCAACAAAGATTAATCCAGTGTTCTTTAGTTTTTAAATATAAATTGGGAACGTGTTAATAAACTTTAAAAAGGCATATTCTTCTATAACAAGAATGACATATAAACCAATCAATAAAAGCATTTGACAAGACATTAAATTACCACAGGCACTGGTTGTTGGTTCAAGTTAGGATCGCTATCCTAATATTTTACATTCATAGTATTACTGAGGTAGTTAAAATACTGAAAATCCGGACTCCAGGTTGCTGGGTTCTGAATGTGAATGTTAAAGATATATTCTCTCTTGAACCCACTTTTCCTAATTCAAGTTTTCTTAAGGTAAGAACTACCAAAATCCAATTAGCAGCCTTCTTTTAAAGAGCAAAAGTGATGATTCTTTCAAAAAACAATTTCCATGCTTGAAAAATGTCATGTGTGTTCTTACCTGAGTGTTTTTTTTAAATTTATCTACCAGACTAATAAATCCGCATTATGCTCTCTATACTCTAAATATAAGTTATTTTCCTTTACAGAAAAGGACATTTCTCTAAGAATTCATGCTGGCAGAAGCCACTCACCCACATTCATCCACTGGAGCCATGTGGATCAGTCCCTTCCTAACAAAGGCCATTGGCTTGATTACTGAGACTCCTGCTGCATACCCACTCATCTTTTAAGAAGTTTATCTTCAATGCACCTTGTGGCAGTCACATCCCTGCCATGCAGATTCCCTTCTATTCAAGTGCTATCTTTAAAAAAACAGAGACACACCTTACTAATTTTTAAACCAGAAAGCTTCCCTCCACCAAATCTCTTGTCCCACAGATAAGAGCACAATGTATAGTTTCAGTTATTACTATGATTTTCTTTTTAAGTTTATTCCTCCAAAATGCTTTACAGGCAAACTGCCCTTGCTATCATGACTACTATGTCGTTTTCACTCATTACCAGTACAGTGAAATGTCCCAGGGCAGTTGTGGGGATAATCCAGTAAAAGCAGGTACTGAAATTTTGTAATCAGTACCCCTGCCTGTTCAGACTGACTAGCTGGATTCAAGGGCTGCTTATGAAACCTGTATTTCACATAACAAAGTGCTGCTGTAGCACAACCTGAGAACCACGCTGGCCATACTGCACTTCAAACTCAGCCTATGGAGCTTTATTATAGTAATGATATTTTTACAGATAGGCCTTCCCTTGAAAAACCTTTCCTTTAGAGTAATATCAAATCTGAGTGTAAATCATTAATTGCACCAAGAAATGCAAAATATATATGTATTATGAATCATAGGAATCACCGCTTCATCCATTCTGTGCCACAATATTATGTTCTCATTTGAAAACACATCTTAATAGTATTTTAATCTGTTATAACGGTAGTTCATATGATAACATTTCCAAAGCATGTTGCATTACAGTTAAGTGTTTCCAAGTAGTACCAATTCCCTGAGTTAAATGTGTTTTCATTCTAAAGATTTGAGGTTGATCGCTTAGGGAAAAAAAGAAAACAAAAAATTATGACCATGATTTTAAAGAGATCTACTCCACCCTTAATTTTAGCACATAAATCCAGATACCTTTACATTTATGATAGGACATTCTATAGAATCAGCTAAAAAATCATTTTCTTTTACTCCACAGGTTGGTACAGTGTAACAATTCAGTGACTTTAAATTTAGTCAAAAATTCATTTGTAGATCAACTTCAAAACTCAAAACTGTAGAATAATAATAAAGAAAAAAGACACCTTCAAAAATTAATACTGTAACTTTCCTTCATAAAAGAGTGTTTGGCAAGTCCACAGATAAACATTAATCTTTGACATATAAGCCAACTTTAGGCCCAGAGCCCACCACAGGTCAAATCTCAAAAGAGTACATTATAATCTGTCCAGATTTTCTGTCGTATTGGATATTTTTGAAATATTTGGACCATCAGCCAGGGCTTGAACATTTCTGTCATCCAGGGATTTGTTGTAACAGGATTTGACACACTGTGTTAAACTGCTGCAGTGTTTGCTCCGTCCTCCCAGTGTTCAGGGTGCACTGAAAGGGATATTCACTCGTGCTGGTACCTGAAGAGTTCTGGTGTCACTGGGATCCCTTTCCTTGAACACGTTTACAAAAAGCTTGCCCTAGAGCTTCAAGACACAAAATAGCCTGGGCCAGTTACTAACTTTGCACATAATCACCTCTCAAAGCATGGAGTAATACAAGGGTAATGTTCATTTATCTGATAACTCCGGTTATAAGAAACAGTCAGACAAGGCTTAACTTCTACTGGTATTGCCAGTGACATCCCAACACCAGTCTGCACATGCCCAAGGCCATGAACACTAGTTTGGAAGCCAGCAGGACACGTCTGTAGTGTGTAAGATGAGGTGTGTGTGGTAGACACAATCTGCTGACAGCTTGGTTGTTCTGATACAGGATGGCGATACTGCAGAGAGGTCTGATGTGTCTGATGGAGATACTGGGGTTGCTGAAAGTGACCTGGCCGTGTGGGCTGGGAGGCTGTTTGGAACACACTTAGCTGTGCTGACTGAGGTCCTGCCTGTCCTCTCTGTTTGTTTGCTTCTTTCACATCATTATCGTGAGCACTGAAACATGGGAGAGAAAGTATTAATAATGTTACTTGTGAAGAATTTGCAAGAAGTCCCACCCCAATTTGTCAATAGCTGATTTCATAAACTGCCAGCACTACCTAGGTAGCAGTCAGTACACAATAATCCCAGCAAGAGCAGGACCTCACTTGTATCCTTCTAAGGCTGTTTCCCTTTATGTGAACCTGCCAGTAGTTTTGAGGGCCTTTTCTGTCTTGGAAAAAAATATTCACAATAAACACTTAAGTGTGGCTCCCATTTTGGTAACATCCTTGTGGCCCTCAAAATTCAAAGATGTGGAAATGGGGGCAAGAACTGCCTGGATAGATCTTCGAGTTATGGATTTACACATGAGCAGATCCTTTCCTTATCATGTACCTAGATCATACTAGCAATCACAACTTCTAGCTAGCTTTAACAACCAAAAGGGGCATCCCATCTATCAAGTACTGCCCACTGCAGGGGGGTACTCATGGTAGCAAGAAGCTGCCAAGAGCAAGTATCCTAAAAGCTGTGCCACTGGCACCATGGCTCACTAGGTTAATACTCCGCCTACGGTGCCGGCATCCCATGTGGACGCCGGATTCTGTCCCGGTTGCCCCTCTTCCAGTCCAGCTCTCTGCTGTGGCCCAGGAGGGCAGTGGAGGATGGCCCAAGTGCTTGGGCCCTGCACCTGCATGGGAGACTGGGAAGAGGCACCTGGCTCCTGGCTTCAGATCGGCGCAGTGCTGGCCATAGTGGCCATTTGGGGAGTGAACCAACAGAAGGAAGACCTTTCTCTCTATCCCTCTCTCTCACTGTCTATAACTCTACCTGTCAAGAAAATTTAAAAAAAAAAAAAACAAAACAAAACAAAAAAAACTGTGTCTTTGAGAAGTTATTTTTAAGGCACCTTATACATGAAGAAAAATATTAATGTGAAATTAGAAACACCAGAACAAAAAGGCTTACATCAACAGCCGCTCAATACACTGCACTAAGAAATCCCAGGAGTAAGCAGTAAGACGATGCAGTCGTGTAGGCCATGTTGGAGAAAGACGAAGTATGATCCTTGAAGAAGCCACACACGCAGCAGCTACTAAAGAAGGTGCATAATTTAGAAAGGCATAATCTGTGGAGACATCAAAAATGAACTTAAGAAACAGAATATACAAGTCATAGGTACACAAGTCACTTACTGGCATTCACAACATCTTACCTTGCAAAGATACTTCTAGGAAGTAATCTGCATATTTGGCCATGTAAAGTTTAGTTTTTTCCAAGCAAATCATTGGCCAGCCATCATGAAGATCTGTTTCGTGTACTGCTTCGGAAAGATAATACTCGATGAAATGAGCAGCTGTTGGAAGGCAGAGGTTCCACTGAAAGGTTTCTAATAGTAATAGTTCCATATGTAGCAGATTTTGTTTTGTTAACACTAGATTCATGTTAGTCATACAACCCAGGCTGTTGAGCTGTTCTAGCTTAGGCACACTATCTTCTTTTTCTTCAAATTTACCTTATAAGAAAAGGGAAGAGGAGAGAAAACGTTAGGCAAGTGATCACTATAGGATGAGTCAGTTAAATGGGATAGACTGTCTTCCGGCATTTAGAGCTAAAAATACTCTTTCCCCTACCTCACATAGACACAATTGTGCCAGAACTCTCTATGGTTCTCATATTTGCATTATGTTTTCTTTTCCAGTACTACTGTGCCCAAACTTTCACTTTCTCCTGGAAAAAAAAATATGCTTGGAACATATCAACATTTAACATTTTAAATTAATTAAAAACTCATTCAAATCTCACTAGCTGAATGTTTTCAGGAAATTTCAGCAGGTGGGTGGGGGAAGAAAATACATTATTTTAGAGTATAAGTGGGTTTAAAGAATTTAAGGGTCATAGGTATATCTGAAATAAAAAATACTTCCAAGTTTTAAGTGTTTCATTTTGCATATTTCCAGCATAATCTCAATTTCTGAAAGAAATTGAGGGGTGAGAACTGGGTTGAATGTCCAACACAAGTGTTACCATTTCACAAAACACTCCATTTAAAACAAAAATCTAGTTAAGACTGTTAACAAAAAAAGGGAGAAAAAAGAAGGGAGAGATACTTTCTGAAATACCATTGTGATTTTCCAAATGTCAGCAATAGAAGCAGAGTTGTTTTCAAGTTTCTTTGGGTTTTTGTTCAGTGGTGGTCCACAGAAGGGAAATTAAAACTAAAGCCTTCTAATTCCCAGTATTTTGTTCTAATTTACATTGAGGTTTACAACACTAATATTACAGTTATAGATTTCACACAATAAATGTTTATATTCATTCTTTTTTTTTTTTTTTTTTTTTTGACAGGCAGAGTGGACAGTGAGAGAGAGAGAGACAGAGAGAAAGGTCTTCCTTTGCCGTTGGTTCACCCTCCAATGGCTGCTGCGGCCGGCACGCTGCGGCTGGCGCACCGCGCTGATCCGATGGCAGGAGCCAGGTGCTTGTCCTGGTCTCCCATGGGGTGCAGGGCCCAAGCACTTGGGCCATCCTCCACTGCACTCCCTGGCCACAGCAGAGAGCTGGCCTGGAAGAGGGGCAACCGGGACAGAATCCGGCGCCCCGACCGGGACTAGAACCCGGTGTGCCGGCGCCGCAAGGTGGAGGATTAGCCTAGTGAGCCGCGTCGCCGGCCTATATTCATTCTTATTCAAAGTTTTTGCCAGACTGTTACTAAAGAAGCACATACATAAAAATTTTTAAAGGACTTTGTTATATTTCAGTGTATTTTGTTTTCTCAGAAATCTTTTTATCCATTTAAAAACTTTAATGATTTATTTGCATATTTGAAAGTCACAGTTACAGAGAGAGATGAAGAGATAGAGAGCTCTCCATCTGCTGGTTCACTCCCCATATGGCTGCAACTGCCAGGGCTGGGCCAAGCCGAAGCCATGAGCTGGGAGCTTCTTCCAGGCCTCCCACATGGGTAAAAGGAGCCCAAGCACTTGGGCCATCTTCTGCTGCTTTTCCCAAGCCATTAGCTGGGAGCTGAATTGAAAGTGGAGTAGCTGGGACAGAAACCAGCACCCATGTGGGATGCTGGCATTATAAGCAACAGCCTTACACGTTTATGCCACAAGATTGGCTCCCATTTAAAAACATTTTTTGGAGAAGAGCCAAAGACTGCCCCAGCAAAAGAAACCAGAAGAGTTTTCCTGTGAGATTTCTCTTCTAGAAGGGATGAGTTTGTACCACATATGAAAGCTGCTACAACCCATGAAAGTGGCCAGGATACTGAGCCCAGATGCTCCCTGTATGGGTGGCAGAGCTAGAGCCAGTGGAAGCTTGATCATGACGACCTGCCTTGGGGTTGGAGGGAAAGAATGTGTAAGAGGTTTTTGTCTCTGATGCCAAGAGATTCTGCACTCATGTCTTGAGAAGAAACTAAGCCTAAAGAAGCAGGAGAGAGAGGAGGGAGTAGGGAGAGGGACAAGGGACAAGGTGGAGAGGAAGGCAGAGGAAGAGGGGTGTCAGTTCTTCCTACTCAAGAGAGATTTTGAACTTTAGATCTCAACTATGCTGTAAATATATGGCTGCAAGTATAAGTTGATACAAAAACATATATATAATTCAGACTTTAAGAATCTAGGGACTGGCGCCTGCCCATATGGGCACCGGTTAGTCCTGGCTGCTCCACTTCCAATTCAGCTCTCTGCTATGGCCTGGGAAAGCAGTAGAAGATGGCCCAGATCCTTGGGCCCCTGAAGAAACTCCTGGCTCCTGACTCCTCACTGGCCCATCTCCAGTGTTTGTGGCCATTTGGGGAGTGAACCAGCGAATGGAAAACTTTTCTTTCTCCCTCTCTCTCTGCCTCTGCTCCTCTGTAACTCTGCCTTTCAAATATAAATAAATAAATAAATAAATCTAAAAAAGAATTGAGATAGTCCTTCATAATGCAAACCACATAAAGGTGAATTTTACAAGTTTTGCCAAAAGCATACGCTTGGTGTGGTTGAAAGTACTAAAGTGGTTTTTATCACATGATTATCTAGCATTACCACTGAATAAAAATATAGGAGAGGAATCCACTGTTCTTAGTATAATGAAGTGAAATTCTTCAGAAGAATGACCTGAGAATTTAGTTCAATCCCTCTGGATGAATCATTAATATTTTCAAAGCACCCTGCTGTTTGTATAGCAGCAGTAATACTGGCAATATACTTCAAAGAAATATTGTAAAAATTAACAAGTTTATTTATATCATGCTTGACATTCCTTTTAAGAAATTAATACACCAGAATCCAAAGATCAAGAATGTTTTGTATTCTCTCCTTGAAAATTTGAACGGCGAAAGTACAATTGTATAAGATAAATTTCATACTTCAGGAAACCAAGGTAGTGACGTTGGGGATTTCATTTAAAGGGGGGAAAAAGCCAAAATGAAGATGTGTAGTTGAATCCCCAAATCTGTACTTCAAGACCAAAGTACTGCACCAAGCTGCATGGCTGTAACTACCAAATCAACAAACTTCTGTATTATTAAGTATCTACGAGACTTCTATATTTATAATGTATTTGGCTATTATAAATGTGCAAGACTTTGCATCTAGTTTGCAAAGTTACAAACAACCTCATACTGCGTAAATAACTACACTTGCAATTTTAACCCAAGTTTTTGGGAACTTTTTCATACATGGATAACATGGATATAAAAAGATTTCAAAGTTTGATAGTAGCAATGAATACCTGCATTCTTAGCTATGTTTTTAGTTGTCTTGAACGCTATGTGTGTATATTTTCAATGTACTTAGCCACAATACCATACACAGATCACAAAGATCAGTTCTTCAATTGAAAGGAAATTCCAGGAACCATGTGATTATATTGATAAAGGCCCCAAACAGGAAGGAAGTAAGAGCACAGGAAGTCCATATCTGCTTCCCAGAAAGTAAAGAATTAGAGGCCACAGAAACAAAGCACTAGGTTTATAGGAGATCAGCCATGGAAACCAACATTGTCTCAAAGCCACATGTAAATGGTGAATATGTGCTGGACAAGATTTCTGTACTGAGAAGGATATAGATCAGATGTCAATGTGTGCTCTGCCAACCCATATTCTATTCTTTTATTATTAAATGGGGAAGTCATATCCTTAATAGACACCAGGAACCTCACAAGTTAGTAAGACCATGAATCTAATAGGAAAATGAGTAAAGAACAGGAAAGGGTAATTCATAGAAAACATCAGTCTAAGCTCATTAAAAGTTGAGATATAACTCAAACCATGAGACATAATTTTTCAACTATTAGAAAACAGTAAAAAGCTTTGCTAACCTAATACTCATTTCCAAGATTGCTTCCATACTTCCCATAAATTTAATGGTAGTTACAGCCGCCAAGGGAAACCAGTATACACATGTGAAAGAGTTAGAACATGAGAAGTTCCCAGGACAAAAGAGTATCTTAGAATAGGACAGAAGCAGGGGCTGGCGCTGTGGCGTAGCAAGTAAAGCCACCACCTGCAGTTCTGACATCCCATATGGGTGCTGGTTCAAGTCCCAGTTGCTCTGCTTCTGATCCAGCTCTCTGCTATGGCCTGAGAAAGCAGTAGAAGATGGATGAAGTCCTTGGGCCCCTGTACCCTCCTGGAGGAAGCTCCTGGCTCCGGATCGGTGCAGCCCTGGCCATTGCAGCCATCTGGGGAGTGAACCAGTGGAAGGAAGACCTCTCTCTCTCTGCCTCTCTGTAATTCTGCCTTTCAAATAAATAATTAAAAAAAAAAAAAAGGCCAGAAGCTTTAGGGATAGGGAGCCAGGATAAAGACTAGAGAAACTTACAGGAGAATGAATGCTTATGATGCTGAACTGTTTGTGTTTCAGTTTCCATGGTGCTTTATTTATTTACTAAAAAAAGATTTATTTATTTGAAGTCAGTTACACAGAGAGTGGGAGAGAGACAGAGGACAAGCTTCCATCTGGTGGTTCACTCCCCAAAAGGCTACGATGGCCGGGGCTGGGCCAAGCTGAAAGCAAGAACCAGGAACTTGATCTGGGTCTCCATATGGGTGGCAGGGGCCCAAGCACTTGGACCATCCTCCATTGCTTTCCTAAGCAGGGAGCTGGACTGGAAGTAGAACAGCAGAGACTTAAACGAGTGCTCACATGGGATGCAGGCATCTCAAGCAAGTGAATTAACCTGCTGTGTTAATGTCAGCTCCTCCTATGTTTTTTTTTTAAGTGTCTTTATTTTTATTTTGTATGTAGAGAGAAAACCTGAGATTCAAGAGTTGTTGAAATTCATATTGTTGATGACTCCAAATCCAGGAAATCATTACTATAGTCATTGTTCTATATGCTACCCTCCAGAGACTCAGAGGCCCTTTTTTATTGTCTTTTAATAGTATAGACTCCAGCAGCTGGGTAAGCATTACCTAGGACTTACAAACTGTGCTTCATCTTTGACCCAAGTACATGCAGCCTCCAACCTATTTCATAACTGGTATTCAATTGTCATCTAGTTTTGTAAGCTGTTTTTCCCTTTTATTTAAAGGACCCCTATCCCAAAGCAGGGAGTAGCTGGGAGAGTGATACACATGCAGTTTAATTATTCTGAAGAGAGAAGCTTTGCTTATTAACATTTATGATAACAGGAGAGCTGCCATTTGGTATCCAAATATAAAAAAATAAGAATATAAGAAACACTAGAATTAACTCCAGAAATTTAAAATAGCACATACTAAAAACAGGCTATCAGTTCTCTTTTTGTGTAAAGTTACAGAGAGAGGAGAGACGGCTGCTAAGATTGCCGACACTAGTGTAGGGCCAAGAGCTGACACTACTTGGAGTGCTGCCTAGTTGGGACAGGCTGAGACTCTGAAAACTATTTCACACACATTCCCATTCTCCATTGGAAAAAAAGGCAGAAGGCAAAAGCAGTTCTCTCTCAGGGAAAGGGGGTTAGAAGCTAACAAAGGGAAAAGGCATCTGATTCTCTCAGTAATAGGTGACTTATACAATTTATATTTGAACCTCAGCAAATACAGATTCTAAAGCCTGGAAAATGTACCAAAAATCACTACATATTATAAATTAAACCACTTAGTAGTCAGTAAAATTGGTCATGACCTTGAATAAATAATAATATATAAGTTTGAGAATAAGAACAATTGAAAACTCTATTCAAGTCAACCTGAGATGATACACAAACATTCTTCTTCAAAATTGTGAAAATTGTTGGAACTCAGTACCAATGCCAAGCACTACAGGTGGCCAAAATTCTTGTTATTTAACTACAGCTCTTAGTAAACTTTGGTGGTAACAGATAATTTATGAATATCTTGTTTAGTAACCCTAACTCATTTAGGTTATTAGTAAGTAAACTTTGATTACAAATCTGTCAGTCTATGAACTGACTATTCATTGTTCATTACTTCACAGTTCCCAGATAAGTCTCCCACTTGGTTCATACCACACTTTTAAAAATTGCAGGTGTGCAGGGCCATGCTGTGGAATAGTAGGTTAAGCCTCTGCCTGTGGCACCGGCATCCCATATATGCACCAGTTTAAATCCCACCTGCTCCACTTCTTTTTTTCTTTTTTTTGACAGGCAGAGTGGACAGAGAGAGAGAGAGAGAGAGAGAGAAAGGTCTTCCTTTACCGTTGGTTCACCCTCCAATGGCCGCCGCGGTCGGCGCACTGTGCTGATCCGAAGCCAGGAGCCAGGTGCTTCTCCTGGTCTCCCATGGGGTGCAGGGCCCAAGAACTTGGGCCATCCTCCACTGCACTCCCGGGCCACAGCAAAGAGCTGGCCTGGAAGAGGGGCAACTGGGACAGAATCTGGCGCCCTGAGCGGGACTAGAACCCAAAGTGCCAGCACTGCAGGCGGAAGATTAGCCTATTGAGCTGCGGCCCCAGCCACCTGCTCCACTTCTAATCCAGCTCCCTGCTAATGGCCTGGGAAAGCAGTGGAAGATGGCCCAAGCATTTGGGCCCCTGCACCCATATTGGAGACTTGGAAGAAGCTGCTGGCTCCTGGCTTTGGATCAACCCAGCTATGGCTGCTGCGGCCACCTGGAGAGTGAACCAGCAGATGGAAGACCCCTCTCTCTCTCCCTCTCTCTATATGTAACTCTGCCTTTCAAATAAATAAATCTTTAACAACAACATTGCAGGTATTGAGCAGGTGGGACTTAGTAATGACAGTAATAGCCACAGCATACAAAGTTATTTTCCACTAATGATACCAATTTTTAAAATAATCTAATTTACATATTTGATGGCTGGTTTCTCTTTATAAACTGATCTTATAATAAACATTCCATAGAATAAAAAGCCATTTCATTTATGGATTCATCTCACACATCTGACCTGTCAAGAGGTTTTTCCAATCCTATGCAAACTATTAAGCCCCAAAGTGTTGTACATGTGATTACTTATAAGCATGAAAGTTTAAAAATCAATTGTAAATGTACTGGCTTCAGGAGGGTAGGGACATGCAATGTGCCTGGATCTTAGAGAATAACAGATTAAAGGAGAAATATAGATATTCAGAAATTAGGTAGTATTCTAATAATTCAGCTCAGGGTACACGGGGATTGGGGTTGGATAATGAGATCAGAAAGGTGGCTAGGTCCAGACGAAAGGTTCGAAATGCTACATTAAGCAGCTTCTACCTGAACTCACAGGCTGTGGGAAGTCATCACTGGGACTATTTTTTTTTTTTTAAACATGCTTTCTGGTTCTACAAGGGATCTAAAATAACTTAAAAAAGACATTCAGAGGGTCAAAATAAGTAGGTGTCATCAGATCAAAGGAAGAATAAAATAAACTAAAATCTGAGGAAATTAGTACCAGAAATGACGCCACATAAGACTGCATTCAGTTTTACGTTTATTAGCAATGAAAATACAAGGGTGTTCTAGAAGAACCTGGTGGCATGAGGTAAATGTCCCTTAGACAGCATGCTTATTGGATTCCCAAACCCTCTACTGGAGGGTGGCAAAGAGGTATAGGCTGTTAATATATCCATATACTACTTTAAAATAGGGCTTAAATTTCTATTATAATGACATGGATAAAATAAAAACCACATTATTGATTCTACTTCAGTACCAATCTTTTCACATTACTAAAAGAAGAAAAACCCAATTTCAGTTCCTTTACTTGTATTTTCTCTTTAGTGAGGGTACTAACAAGCAATAAAATGAGGTACAGGAAGATATGAAAACAGAGGGGTGTCAAAAAGCCCAGCACAGTACATTCTGTATGGGTAACAAACAGAGCTGTATCAGTCTGTCTTAAAGCCTACTACACAGTTGGTCTATTGCATAAGCAAAGGTTTTCATAAATCTGTAGCACTTGCACATGAACATTTAGTTCAGTAAGCTAATTCATTAGTAAATAGCATTCTAACAATATGCAGGCACTTCAAAATGTGGAAAATGAAATTAAATTTATTTTGGTGTAAAAAATTTAGAGATTCACATATATGGAGGGTCTTGAAAAGGTTTGTAGAAAAATGTATATTAGGAAAAACTGCATGGATTGTAAAAAAATTTTTTTTTACACTAAAATAAACTTAATTTCATTTGCCATTAACTTTTGGAAGTAACTTTGTATAATAGCAATGCTACCTTTAAGACACAGTTTCTCAACTTCAGCTCCATTGATTTTTGGGCAGAAAATGCTGTCATGGGGAACTGTCCTGGCCATTCTAGAATATTTAGCAGAGTATCAGGCCCCCATGAACTGAATGCTAATAGCATCCTACTAGATTATAACAATCAAAACTGTCTCTATACCAAGTGTCCCCTGCGGGACAAAGTTGCTCCTTGAAAATCACTGCTTTATGACCGTGGTTCTCAACTGGAAAGAGACATCATAATCACCTCTGGGATTTCTAAATAAAAATGAAAGACTTCTCAGGCCCTCTTATGTAGATTCTGACTGAACAGATCTGGGGTGACCCAGGCATTTTTATCAGAATATTTGGGATGTGGGGCTTAGTTACTTGTTTCTCAAAGACTCAACAGCTACTTTTTAATATCTAGTTAAGAATTATTATGCCAAGAAGCACTTTCAACAAAAACTTCCTGATAATAGTAAACTGGAATGAATGAGATTTGGTGATATTTCACTGAGTTCTATATAAATTTGCATTATTATATAACTAATGAAAATTTATAGTCAATTATTTTCATACTTACTTGCTAGAAGTAGACAGGAAAGAGCAACTAGATGTAGCTGCTGGATAGAGATGTCATAGCGATCCATAAACAGGTCCAACAAATAGACAGCAAGGTGTCGGGCAGAAGGGCACAGTGTGAAGCGATTGCTTACAATGGCAATCAAGTCAGCAAAATACCGTCTGAGACTCAGTTGAGGGGACTGGCCCTTGTAGGAGGGCAACTTGAGCTCCTAAATCAAGAGGAACAATATTCAGTTTGATCTGTAGAAGCAGCCTCATACTGCAAAGACTTAACACTGATTTTCCAACACAGGTTGAGCATTCCTAATCCAAAACTCTTTTGATCACTGACACTAGGATCAACATATTATATTTTGGAGCATTTTGGATTTTGAGGTTAGGGATCCTCAGAGGGTAAGTCTATGCAAATATTCCACAATCCTAAAAACACTGAAATCAAAGACTTTGGGTGCCAAGCATTTCAGATAAGAGATAATCTGTAGATTAGTGTTACAAGTGCCTAAAACACAGTTTTCTCGGGTGGAACATAAAAATGAAAAAGTTGAGCAAAAAGACAGTGACATTTAATTTAAAACAAAACTCTGTTCTTTATTGTTAATCATCTATGATGTGATCAATTGCATTTCTTAGTGGAATGGATGCATTCTAAAAATATTTTTTAATGAAGGAAATCTAGTTTGCCCTAACAGATGTTTCCAGGAAAAAAAAAGTCTTTTCCAAAACTATTTACTCCATACACAAAGGCACATACATCCCTCCAGGAAGCCCAAAGCTTTTGGTTAGGAAGTAACAGGGGAGGGTGTGATGGCATACTAGGTTAAAGCACTGTTTGGCCGGATGCACACATCTTACATTGGAGTGCTAATTTGAGTCCTGGCTACTCCACTTCTAATCCAACTTCCTGCTAATGTGTCTGAGAAGGCAGCAGTGAGCAGTGATGTCCCATGCACTCCAATCTCTGCTACCCATGCAGGAAACCAGGATGGAGTTCCTGCCTCCTGGCTTTGGCCTCCCTAGCCCAGCTGCTGTGGGCATTAGGGACAGAAGATCTCTCTCTCTGTCACTCTGCCTTTAAATAAATAAATCTTAAAAAAAAAAAAAAACTAGATTTCAGAATTTCTTGCACAAAAATAAACTTTGAAATTTTTTTCCCCACAAGCCTTTTGAACTGTGTTTAAGGCTTTTCAGTTACCAGATTCGATTTTCATCAATTTTTGCTGCTCTATTGAAAGAAGTAAAAACTCTCACATACTATTGGTCAGGTTGACAAATGAATAAGTCTTTTGGAGAGCAATCAGGTGATATAAATTTTTTAACATGCAGCTATCCTTTAACCTAACAATCCAAGGCCTAGAAATCTAACTTATTTACAAGGAGGTTCTTTGCAGTGCTGTTTGTAATAGCAAAATGGTGGAATCAAAGTGTGATGCCCAACAACCTGGATGGATCTCCAGGGAATTATGCTGACTGAGAAAGAGTTAATCCTAAAATGTCACATACTATACGATTCAATTTATATAACATTCTTGGAATGACAAAATAATAAAACTAGAGAACAGACTAGTGGTTGCTGAGATTCAGGGGGTGGGGTGTGAGATAGGAGGGAAGAGGGTGTAACTTTTTAGAAAAGCAGGAGACTTTTGTTTTTTTTAAAAGATTTTATTTATTTATTTGAAAGAAACAGAGACAAGAAGGGAAAGGGAGAGATCATCCATCCACTGGTTTGCTTCCCAAATGGCCTCAATGGCCAGGTCTGGGCCAGGCAAAGCCAGGAGCTTCTTCCAGGTCTCCCAGGAAGGTGCAGGGGCCCTAGCACTTACTTGGGCCATCTTCCACTGCTTTCCCAGGTGCATTAGCAGAGAGCTGGATGGGAAGTGGAGCAGCTGGAATTTGAACCAGTGCCCACAGGGGATGCCAGCACTGCCAGCAGAGGCTTAACCTACTATACCACAGCACCCCAAAAGATTCTTGAGATGACAGGAAACATGCTGTTTCTTGACCATATCAATTTAAGTATCTTGGTTGTGACATGGTACTATAGTTTTTCAAGATGTTACCACAGTGAGAAACTAGGTGAAGGGTACAGGAAGATCTCTGTATCACTTCTAAGAAATGCATGTGGGGGTGCTGGTGCTATGGCATTGCACGTAAAGCTGCTGCCTATAGTGCCAGTATCCCATATGGGTGCCGGTTCGAGCCCCGGCTGCTCCACTTCCAATGGCCTGGGAAAGCAAAAGATGGCCTAACTCCTTGGGCCCTTGCACCTGCGTGGGAGACCTGTGAGAAGCTCCTGGCTCCTGCTTCAGATTGGCCCAGCTCCAGCTGTTGCAGCCATATGAGGAGTGAATCAGTGGATGGAAGACCTCTCTCTCTCCCTCTCTATAACTCTTTCAACTAAATAAATCAGTCTTAAAGCTTGGGGCCAGCAAAATGGCATATCAGGTAAAGCTACTGCCTGCAACACCAACATTCCATATGGGTGCCAGTTCAGGTACTGGTTGCTCTGCTTCTGATCCAGCTCCCTGTTAATATGCCTGGGAAAGCGGCAGAAGATGGCCCAAGTATCTGGGCCCCTGACATCCACATAGGAGACCCAGTGAAGCTCCTGGCTGCGGCCTGGCCTAGTACTGGCAGTGTCAGCCATCCAGGGATTGAACCAGGATGCAAGATCTCTAACTTTCAAAAGAAATCTTTAGAAAAATGCTTGAACTCTTTTGACACAGAATTGCTAAATAAACTATTGGACATCAATTCAATGTGGATTTTAAAATAAAGAGAAGGCTGGGGCCAGCGCCGTGGCATAGCAGGTAAAGCAGACACCTGCAGTGCCAGCATCCCATATGGGCACCAGTTCTAGTCCCAGCTGCTCCACTTCCGATCAAGCTCTCTGCCATGGTCTGGGAAAGCAGCAGAAGATGGCCCAAGTCCTTGGGCTCCTGCACCTCTGTGGGACACCCAGAGGAAGCTCCTGGCTTCTGGTTTCGGATTGGCCCAGCTCTGGCCATCGCAGCCACTTGGGGAGTGAGCCAGTGGATGGGTGACCTCTCTCTACCTCTGCCTCTCTGTAACTCTGCCTTTCAAATAAATAAATCTTTTAAAAAAATAAGTAAAGAGAAGGTACAGGTGCTGTGGCTCAGTGGGTGAAGCCACTGCTTGGGACAGCCTCATCCTATATTGGAGTGCTTGAATCCCAAGTTGGAGTCCTAGCTACTATGCTTCTGATCCTGCTAAAACCTGGGAAGGCAATGGATGATGACCCAAATTCCTGTCACCCACATGGGATACCACGATGGAGTTCCAGGCTCCTGGCCTCAGCATCTGGGGAGTAAACTAGTGGATGGAAGATCGCTTTCTCTGTCATTTTGCCTTTTAAATAAATAAGTCTTTTCTAAAAAAAAATAAATAAAGGGCAGTAATATTACACATATTGATACGGAAAACTCTGCTAAATTTAGGTGGAATAGGAAGGTACACAAATGAATATCTGCTATCTGCTAGTATCATGATCTCTGTGTGACAAAAATGTCGTATTTGCAGATATATTCATTTACTGGGTATCTTTTCAGGGAAAAATAATGATGGTAACTTTAGAGGTCCAGGAAATAATGGAGGTTGGAGGCAGCTCATTTATACCTTTTGATATTGTAAAAAGAAAAAAAAAAAGTAGCCGGCGCCGCAGCTCACTAGGCTAATCCTCCACCTTGCGGCGCCGGCACACCGGGTTCTAGTCCCAGTTGGGGCGCCGGATTCTGTCCCGGTTGCCCCTCTTCCAGGCCAGCTCTCTGCTGTGGCCAGGGAGTGCAGTGGAGGATGGTCCAAGTACTTGGGCCCTGCACCCCATGGGAGACCAGGATAAGTACCTGGCTCCTGCCATCGGATCAGCACGGTGCACCGGCCGCAGCGGTCATTGGAGGGTGAACCAATGGCAAAGGAAGACCTTTCTCTCTGTTTCTCTCTTACTGTCCACTCTGCTTGTGTAAAAAAAAAAACAAAAAAACAAAAAAAAAAACAGGTTACTTGAGTAATAGGCTAAATGGACCTTTTATATATAAGTGATAAAAACATTAACAAATGCTATTGAGAAAAAAAATACTTCTCCAAATAAAGGGAATACATTGGCCAGCGCCGTGGCTCAATAGGCTAATCCTCCGCCTGCGGCACCGGCACACCGGGTTCTAGTCCCGGTCGGGGCACCAGATTCTGTCCCGGTTGCCTCTCTTCCAGGCCAGCTCTCTGCTCTGGCCCGGGAGTGCAGTGGAGGATGGCCCAAGCCCTTGGGCCCTGCACCCCATGGGAGACCAGGAGAAGCACCTGGCTCCTGGCTTCAGATTAGCGTGGTGCACCGGCCGCAGTGTGCTGGCCGCGGCGGCCATTGGAGGGTGAACCAACAGCAAAAGGAAGACCTTTCTCTTTCTCTCTCACTGTCCACTCTGTCAAAAAAATTAAAAAAAAAAAAAGGGAACACAATGATTTTTCATATAGTTGCTAAAATGTTTTCTCCTTTGGTTTCTGTAGATCTTTATAATGGTATACATGAAATGGCATGATATGCAGCTACTGTCATGTGACATTTATTGATCACCTGCCTGCCTTGCAGCAGGCACTGTGCTAACCCCAGGGACAAAAGCTAGAAAACTGGTCCCAAGCCTCTGTCTAGCAGTTGAGTCAAAATACAGAGATCTTTACAACACAACGTGGTAATCGCAGGGAACACTGAGGAAAACACCTAACTCAGCTCAGGGGATAAGGAGTTGGGAATAAACAAAGCCAGGGTGGGTCTTCTGGAAAAGAGGCCTGAAGGTGGTCTTAGTGACTCACTAGGAAACATATGTGGAAAACATGGGTGAACTTTATTTTCAACTATGTTAATCTTACCAGCTTTACTAAAGGCAGGAACCCCAAGGACCATCAAATAGAAGACTTCCAGTAGTTGTCCAACACATTCTCTTTATATCCTTTTGAATGGTAAAGTACAAGTACTTACCAGATGACTGTCAGATTTTGTTCTTTTGGTCCAGGTACTACAGTTATATAACCACGGGAAAATAAGTATGCTTCTGTAAGCATATGGGTTTCTCTGTCTATTCCCCATTCCCTAGAATTGAATATTTTCTTCCCATCTGCTTTTCAGGAACCCACAGGACCAAAGCACAGAGACCTGAATATGTATCTTCATCTCCAGTCCCAAGCCCTCATCGGCTCACCACCCCCAATGCCATCCCCCTTCCAGAATGGGTAACTGTTCTGCCAGGATGGAAATATGGGCCTACGAGTAAATTCAACTCTGTGGGATAAACATTTTCTCACAGGGCTAAGATTGTTCCCAATTGTCATTCAGCCTCCTAAAATACTTTCTCAAACAGCTGATAGCAATAGTATGCAGAGCAAACTCATGAGAAAGAAAAGGATACACAAAGGTATAAACACCTGCTTTGCAGGTCCTCCACCTCTGGGAGGGGTAGTAAATTATATTTTATAAAAAAGACAGTGAGGTTGGCATTCAGGGTCAAAGAGGATTTCTTTCATTGTAATTTTTACTCTTCCCTAGTAGACACAATGCCCATCACACCAGTTTATTTCTCCACAAACCTGGAGTCTAAACAGAAAACACTCTCTACAGAACCCAAATGGCAACTGCCCAAAAGAAGACCAGAAGGATGCTCTGAATTGTGAAAAAGACTGGCCCTTGTGAAGGCAGGGTCTCACTGACTGCTGCTGCCCTGACACCTGCCAGATCACCTTGTACACAGTGAATACTCAACATGTTGAATAAACAAACTGTAAAATCATAGCTAACAGACTGGAATTTCTATTGTCTTTTTTTTGAGAAAAGGCCCTGTGCTATCTTATCCTTTGATAGCTCATCAGCAATGACTGCAGGGCTGTCTTATTCCTTGGATCCTCCAGAGACAAATACACAAAAAATTTCAATAAATCCGAATTTTTAAAAAAAGTCTATTTGGCCAGTGCTGTGGTTCACTAGGCTAATCCTCCGCCTGCAGCGCTGGCACCCCAGGTTCTAGTCCCAGTTGGGGCACCGGATTCTGTCCCGGTTGCTCCTCTTCCAATCCAGCTCTCTGCTGCGGCCTGGGAGTGCAGTGGAGGATGGCCCAAGTGCTTGGGCCCTGCACCCCATGGGAGACCAGGGGAGGCACCTGGCTCCTGCCTTTGGATCGGCACAGCACCGGCTGTGGCGGCCATTAGGGGAGTGAACCAACGGAAGAAGACCTTTCTCTCTGTCTCTCTCTCACTGTCTATAACTTTCTGTCTCACTGTCTAACTCTGCCTGTTAAAAAAAAAAAAGTCTTTCCAATTTCAAGGGACAACATTAACTCATAACCACTCAGGATTAAAATTATCTACACTTAAAAATATAAAATTGAAAACCTGAGTCAGTTAAAAAATATAGATACCATTAACATCAAATAATCAATTCTACCACATACTAGAGAAATTAGGAAGCTGACACTTAGAAAAGAACATTTCAAGAGGACACCTGCCAAAACCCAGAAAATCAAAAGTGTACCTGGACAATGTTTAAAGTGGAAAACCTGCAACTCTTTTCCTAACACTCCAGACAAACATCCCATGGCTGGGACTTCCCTGTGGTGCAAGCATTCTTTAGGGGACTGAGGTGTATTTAGTGTGTCTAAGAAATTATTAGAATTGGGCAGCACTTAGAAATCTCAGGCTGTCAAGGAGTGTTCAGTTGTAACAATTTAAGTCAGAATCAGATTTTCCAATCTAGTTAACCTGGTCAGAAACTCAAGCTACAAGTTCATTATCATCCCAGGATCTTTGAACTCCCAGGGTCAGAATCATCTTTATTAAAGAGCCAGCTGTTTTGCTTCTTAATTTTCTGCACTTAATGGATGGCTCTTTTTCCAAGGTGAAAGTAAATTAAGGCAGAGATCATTTTGGATCTGGTCTCTCTTCTAGTTATCAAAAAAGAACTCTCCCATTAAGCTGTCTTGTGCTGCTCAAAGTAGAAAAGTTACTGTAAGAGTAAGAATACACAGTCCTTGCTCTGCACCACAAAAGTGTTTTTCTGTATCTATAAGTCTCCCCAGTCTACTTCCTGCCTTTGATATTAGTAGAAAACAGCAGCAAACTCCTTCCACCTTAAGGCTTTCTGAACTGACCCGAATCTTGAGGGGTAAGCGACATTAACAGTTACCACACCGTGCTTACTGAACACCAAGCGCTGTTCAGAGCACATGGAGAGTGCTAACTTTTAAAAATTTTGCAGTCGTCCCATGTTGTTGTTATTCCTCGCAAACTGAGAAACACAAAATTAACTTGTGCAAAGTCTCAAAGCAAGTTCGTGGATCTCACGTCCGAACACGACTTACTGCAGACAGCTGCACACAACAGCAACTACAGAACAAGGAGGGCTGCTCTGCCCAATAAAAACTCAGCGTGTATAGCTTTTAAAAGACAAGATCAAATCCATCTTGCATCTCGAAACAAGCACATCACCCTCCTCTCAACTACCACGCCCCACCCCCCTCATTTAAGTTGCAGGTTCTCCTGATACATCCCAGCGAGGGAGTCAATAAGTTAATTAACCTTGAGCAAATACGAAAACTCGCCTTCTGCCCGGAAAGTAGCTGAGTGGAGAACCTGATCGGTTCTTTCCAGGGGGGGCCAAGACTCACAATAACCGACAGGAGGCACCGGATGGGGGGTCGGGCAGCAGCTTTACCTTGTACCGAAGCGCTTGGTGAATATCCGCAGCCAGCTGTCCTCGCCACCACTGCCCCTCCAGCTCCATGGGACCCGGCGGCGCGCCCGGCCAGACGCGGCAACTCAGTCTGGAAGACACACCCCAGACGCGGTCACTGCCGGCTCCTTCCCCGACGGCCCTGGGCGCGCCCTCCCCAGGGGTGGGACCTCAGGCTGTCCTGTCTGCCTGTTCATCTTCCTCTGGCTCGTCCTAAACCCGGCCCCGATCCAAACCAATTCCCCGACGCAGGGCCCGAACCGCCCCCGTTCGAGAGGAGCTGGCTTGTGCTGGGGACCGCCCCACTGGCTGCCGGACAGAATGGGGTCAATTCCGACCCCGAGTTGTTGCCCATGTGCGGACCTGGATGCAAGCGCGGGCAAAGCAGGATGGGCAGGCCCGGTTCGGGCTCCCGGAGCCCTAGGTTCGAACTCTCCCGCTGGCCCCAAGGAGCGGGGAGACCTGACACCAGCCACAGTCCCGCTGAGGAGAAACGCTTCCCACCAAACAGCCCGGAGACCGAAGGCCGCCAGCCTCGGGGCGCTCGCTCCTCCCCGGGAGCACGCACAGGACCGCGCGGCCCCAGAACGGCGAACAAAAGGCCGGGCCGGCCAGACTCCACGCCTCGCCCCGGCGGGACCGGTGCCCCGCGCCCAGCCCAGGCCTGCCCTGCCGCCCGGCCCCGCTGCCGCTCCCTTACCCGGAACCGCGGCCCTCACAGCCCCAGCCCCGCCGGCGTGCGGGGGGTGCCGGCCCCGTTCATGCTGCGGACAGTCGGCCGCGAAGCACCAGCCTCAGCTCGGGCCCACCGCCGGGGCGACCGCGCCGCCCATTGTTAAAGGACCGGCAGGCGGCTCCGCGTACAAAGCCAGCGCGGGGGCACATGCAGCCCCGCGCTGCCAATCTCGTCTCGCGATACAGCGGGGTCGCCCCGAGCTGTCCAATCGGCGGCCAGCCGGGCCCAGGTGCAACGCCCGGCGGCGGCTCGGCGGCGGCGGCTGGGGCCGGGGCAGCACCGGGACAGCGTCTCGGGCGGTGTGGTGAGGCCCGGCCTCCCGCCTTGGCTCCCTGCGAACGCCGCCACCACCTAGCTCGAAGCCCGCCTGCGGGCGGGCTGAGTCTGGGAGAGGGCGCCGGAGAAATTATAACGTTGATCGCTAGGTGGCCAATCCGGTCAGACCGCTCACCTGTTTGATTGCCTTCAATGCGTCCTCAGTGCCTGCTGAGCAGAGTTCCTACGCCTCACCTTGGTGTTCAGAAAACCCCTTCCCAGCTTGCATTCCGTCTGCCTCAGCTCACAGGGCAGCGGCCACATACATCCTGGGGCCTGCTCGGGGGACTCTTCAGGCCTCCCAAATGGGCGCTAGCTGTTTCCACAGCCCTGGAGTGCATTCTTTATGAAATTCTGCTACATCCTACCTCAAAATCCGCTCCTCTCCCAGAAACCGAATTAATCTCTTCCCCTTCCTTCTTTCCCTTGCTGGAGAGATCCCCAGAGCTTTGAATGAAGGGAATCAAGATTAGTAACCTGGCTGTCAAATTCATAGTGGAAGAAACTGGCCATCTGCGGTCATAAATCAGGAAACTCCAAAACTGGAAACACTCCAACATAATTAAGAGGGTGTGGGAGCCGAAACGTGATTGGCAGGAACTAATCAATTGTATTTGAATGTGCTTAGGGGAGTCTCACAGAGGAAGTGGATGGTCAGCCTAGAACAGTGTTGCCCACTTTTTCTGAGACTACAATCAACTTCTTTTAATGTTAAAAAATAGTGGACCCACTTTTGAGTCTTTTATCCAAGAAGGAACTACAACACAGTGATTCATCGTGCTGTGGGAATTTTTTTTTTTTTTATCACAAGGACATCTTCATACATTTGAAGAGTAGCAGGCATGCATGTGAGCCCTGCTTCATCTGTAGGCACTGTGCATGTTCCGGAATGCAGCTCAGGAACCAATGGCCAGAAACGGGAAATGCAGAAAATGGAATATGACACAGCCTAGGGTAGTCCAGGGAGAGGCTGCCCTAGCCTAGTTCAGTGGCAGGAATTCCCTAGAGAGGATGGACAGACACATGAGCCCACATGCTCCATGACATTAATAGTGGCGTTTATTTAAATAGTACCCACCTCCTCAGGTTCCAGTTCATAACGACTAAGCAACTTTATGACAATAATTGGGCTTCCAAATGATATAAACGTCCAGCGCCTGTTTAAGAACCCTTTCGGAAAGATGGGTCACAGACTGTAATCATCAGTGTAATAATTAGCTTGTCTTTCATGGTATCTACTTTGAAGATGCTGTTCACTCAGAGATACTTGTTCAGAAATTACCATTTTATTCTTTTTCTAGATTTGCATCATATGCTAAGAAGACTTCAATGTTCATTTATTTTATAAATTGTGTATATGTGTGCATGCACATATAAATGATATTCCCCGAATCCACCACATTGAGGCTCTTTTTTTTTTTTTTTTGACAGAGTTAGTGAGAGAGAGACAGAGAGAAAGGTCTTCCTTCCGTTGGTTCACCCCCCAGATGGCCGCCATGGCTGGAGCTACGCCGATCCAAAGCCAGGAGCCAGGTGCTTCCTCCTGGTCTCCCATGCAGGTGCAAGAGCCCAAGCACTCGGGCCGTTCTCCACTGCCTTCCCGAGCCACAGCAGAGAGCTGGACTGGAAGAGGAGCAACCGGGACTAAAACCTGGCGCCCATATGAGATGCTGCGCCGCAGGCGGAGGATTAACCAAGTGAGCCATGGCGCCAGGCCCTCCCAGTGTGTCTTAGATTATAAATCTCTAAAAAGCAAAATTCGGTTTTATTATGATTTCTTTTATTCCTTTAGGGAAAGCTGAATACAATTAAGACACAGATTGAATATACCTTATCTGAAATGAATGGGAACAGAGTGTTTTGGATTTTTTTTTTTCAGATTTTAGAATAATAGTATTTGCATCTACATAATGAGTTATCTTTGGAATCAAACTGAAATTGAAACACAAAATACATATATGTTTTGTAAATATCTTATACACATAGACTGAAGGCAATTTCATACAACATTTTTAGTGAGCTTGCATTTTGTATTTAAAAAATGTTTATTTGAAAGGCAGAGTGATACATGCACATAAGAGAAAGAGATATCTTGCATTTGCTGATTCACTCCTCAAATGCCTGGAACAGCTGGGGCTGGGGCAGGCCGAAACGAGGAGCCTGGAACTCATCCTGGTCTCCCACGTGAATGGCAAGAACCCAAGTAACTTGGGCCTTTACCTGCTGCTTCCCAGGGTGCAGGGAGCAGGCAGCTGAATCAGAAGTGGAGGTGGAGCACAGGCACTCAGAGGATGCAGGCATCCCCAGCGCCAGCCTAGCTGCTGTGCCACAGCAGCCATCCCTGCACTGTGACTGTGACCTGTCAAGAGGGCAAGTGTGGAATTTCCTACTTGTGGGATCATGTTGGCATTCACAGAGTTTCAGATTTGGGATTTTCAGATTAGGGGTGCTCAATCTGTGTTTATTCAATTTTTAAATAAAATGAAGTCTCTGCTCTCATAATGTTTATGTTCTATGAAGAGAGAGACCTAATAAACAAAAAACAACCAACCAGATGTCACAGAGTGACAAGTGTTGTGAAGAAAAACAGAAAAAGAGGCTAGAAAATGACGTGGTTTATGATCAGGTGAGGAGTGCAAGCCCTACGGGAAGGAAGGGAACACACAGGTGGATGCAGTACAAGCAGGCATGTTTGGAATGCAAATGAAGGCCAACGTATGTCTGGAATAAAGATGAGTTAGGAAAGACACTCCAAGTCGAGGAAGCAGCGATCAGCATAGGCACGAGAGGGTGGAAGTGCAGAAGGCAGAACATCCATTAAGAGCAAAATATGGAGCGTGCAGAGCTCAGTGTGACTGTGCATAAAGCCCATGAGGTTGTGGCAAGAGTGGGATCAGATTCTCTGGAGAGCTTTTGTAACTCGCTGAACTTTAGGCAGTGGAAAGTCACTGATGTTCAATTATTTACATTTTTAAAATGCACGCAAAAGATAAAACTCTGAAAGAGTGGAAGACTATAGGTTGAATTCACAAGTCTCCCTCCGTTCCTTGTTCACAGTTCTTCCCACAGGCAACACTATTCTTCTTCTCTTTTGTATCTTTCTAGTGATATCTGGGTATTTAGAACCATGCATGCATGTTTTGTGCACAAATGAGAGCACAATTCACTGTTGTAGACCTAGCTTTATTGTAAAATATATTCTCATAAATATTCTATAAACAGAGCATCCAGGAATTCTATCAGTAGCTACTCTGTAAGAGGATTCTACCGGATGCAAGGACTGAGAACCGGAAACTCTGGGCTCTGGTTTTTGGTTCTTGACGTGTTGCTATTTGTATTTCTCAATGAATTGCAGTTACTATTCCTGTTCACTATCAACATCCTTGCCTAAGGCAAGAGACCAGTCATCTCCCACCTGACTTGTACAACACTATCTTAAACTTTCTTAATACACGACTCCTGGTCTTTCTGTTCACCACTGGGGCTGGTGCTATGGTGTAGCGGGTAAAGTTGCTGCCTGCAGTGCGGGCATCCCATATGGGCGCCAGTTCAGGTCCTGGCTGCTCCCTCTTCTGATCCAGCTCTCTGCTGTGGCCTGGAAAAAGCAGTGGAAGATGGCCCAAGTGCTTGGGCCCCTGCACCCATGTGAGAGACCCAGAAGAAGCTCCTGGCTCCTGGCTTCAGATCAGCCCAGCTCTGTCTGTTGTGGCCATTTGGGGAGTGAACCAACAGATGGAAGACCTTTCTCTCTATCTCTCCTTCTCTTTCTCTGTAACTCTACCACTAAAATAAATAATTCTTTTTAAAAAAAGAAAAAGAATCTGTAAACATTTAGTACAGATGCATTGTTTGAATATTTTCAAACTTCTGTTGGTTGGTAGTGTGTTGACTCCTGCATTTTTTCTGTTCAAGATTGCTTTGGTTCCATACAAATTTTAGTAGTATTTTTTGTGGTTTTGTGAAAAACGTCATTAGTATCTTGGTAGAGATTTATTAAAACTGTAAATAATTTTGGAGGTAGTATGGACATTTTAATAACATTGATTCTTCTAATCCATGAATACGGGATAACTCCTTTTTTGGGTCCTCTTCAATGTATTTCATCATTGACTTTTATTGTAAATATCTCTCATATCTTTGGTTAACTTTATTTCTAGGTATCTTATTTATTTATATTACTCAAAATTAGGTTGCTTTCTTAATTTGTTTCTTGGGTAATTCACTGTTGGTACAACAATGAATTTTTGTGTGTTGACTTGTGTGTTATCCTGCAACTTTGTTGGATTTACTTATAGTTCTAATAGCCTTCTGGTGGAATCTTTGGATTTTTCTATATATAATAATGTTGTCTGCAGACAGTGACAATTTGTGCTGCTCCTTCACAATTTGAATACATTTTATTTCTTTCTTTTGTCTAATTGCTCTGGCTAGGACTTTATATTGAATAAAAGTAGAGAAATTGGACACCTTTGTTCCAGATCTTAGAAAGCGTTCAGCTTTTCCCCTTTAATATGTTAGCCAGGATCTTTATTATCTTGAGTTATATTTTTTCTATAAATTGTTCAGAGTTTTTTTTTAATCATGAAGGATATTGGATTTTTTTTTCTGTTTTTTTTTTTTTTTAAGACATTTATTTATTTGAAAGTCAGAGTTACACAGAGAAAGGAGAGGCAGAGAAAGAGGTCTTCCATCCAATGGTTCACTCCCCAATTGGCTGCAATGGCTGGAGCTGTGCCAATCCAAAGCCAGCAGCCAGGCACTTCTTCTGAGTCTCCTACGTGGGTGCAGGGCCCCAAGG